ATATATATATATATATATATATATATATATATATATATATATATATATATATATATATATATATATATATATATATATATATATACATACAGTATTACCCCGCTTTGCGCGGTTTCACTTAACGCGATTTCTCATATATACGCAGTGCCTCGCCAGAACCGAACTTTCAGTTAACGCGGTTCATCTACCCATATACGCGGTGAAGAATAATTTTTTTTATTTTTTAATTTAGCTCATAAAATTCATACAAATTACCCAGCCAGAATATAATTTACATTGCTGGAATTCTTACAATATGATGATCATTTTGAATATAAACATCATAGCTTTTGCATTAGACATACAAATTTTAGATATAATGTTTACTCTGAGTAAATATGTTATCTTTTGTGCAAAATATATGACATTTATATCAAAAATATTCCTGGTCTTACAAGGAATCCAGCAATGTCAATTATATTATCCTAACTTTAGTTTGAGGTATTATTTATTACTAAAAAGGTAAATATTCTGGTTTTCCCACACATCTGGTAAGGAGGGTTGGTGGGGGGGAGGGAGGGACCGACCGACCATCTGGCGCGGTGTCAAGAATATATTTTTTTTTTTTTAACTGAAGATATTTGTTTTAGCTCATAAAATTCATACAAATTACCCGGCCAGAATATAATTTACATTGCTGGAATTCTTACAATTTGATGATCATTTTGAATATAAACATCATAGATTTAGCATTAGACATACAAATTTTAGATATAATGTTTACTGAGTAAATATGTTATCTTTTGTGCAAAATATATGACATTTATATTCAAAATATTCCTGGTCTTACAAGGAATTCAGCAATGTCAATTATATTATCCTAACTTTAAACTGAGGTATTATTTATTACTAAATGTAAAAATTTAGTTATTTCACCCATTTCTCTTGTAGGGAGGGTTGGGACGGACCACCATTGGAAGAGGGAACAAGGTGGGGTACTTTGATTGACAGATAGTGTCATGAAGAATATTTTTTTTTATTAACTGAAGATATTTGTTTTAGCTCATAAAATTTATACAAATTACCCGGCCAGAATATAATTTACATTGCTGGAATTCTTACAATTTGATGATCATTTTGAATATAAACATCATAGATTTTGCATTAAACATACAAATTTTAGATTAATGTAAGTATTTTGTTTACTCTGAATAAATATGTTATCTTTTGTGCAAAATATGACATTTATATTCAAAATATTCCTGGTCTTACAAGGAATTCAGCAATGTCAATTATATTATCCTAACTTTAATCTGAGGTATTATTTATTATTTACTAAATGTTAAAATTTAGTGGTTTTCCCCCCAAAATTTCTCAGAGAGGGAAGAGCCAGCGAGTGTAATGTGAGAAGAGGGGTAGGGAGTTGAGTCCATTATTTGAATGGACATTAACTTGGCGACTATATTTCTCTATTTCTCTTAAGTGTTAATTGTGTGCATGTACCATCATAAAATTAAGATGTTATTTTTACTAGAACATAGGTATTGTGTCGGAAAAAGTAGAGTTTGGGGGTCGGGCCAGTCTCTATTGGAATTAATCCCGTATGTTCTGTTGTTCACTTTACGCGGATTTCACTTAACACGGTACCCTGTGGGTTCAATTGACTGCGTAAATCGGGGTACTACTGTATGTATATATGTATATGTATATATATATATATATGTCTATATATATATATATATATATATATATATATATATATATATATATATATATATATATATATATATATATATATATATATATATATATATATATATATATATATATATATATATATATATATATAATAGACATGATTACCAGAAGATTAGACACCCCATCTTATTTCACCTGAAAATTAGATACTCGGAGGTTAGTTTAGCGGAAGGTTAATTCAGGTTAAAGTTAGATTAGGTTAAATTAGTGTAACATTAGGTTAGTTTAGCTTAGCGTTAAGTTAGTTTAGTACCGTATAGCGTTACCCAACCTAACTTACAGCTTATTCTACCTGAAGATTAGACACCCTGACATATCCCCAACCTAACTTAATGCTAACCTAACATCTTCAGGTAGTGTTAAGGTGTTTAATTAATCACAAGGCAAAATAAACTGGGGTGCCTGAACTTGGGCATAAATGGGACTGCCCAGTATGGGCCAATAGGCCCAATGCAGTTTCCTCCATTCTTATGTTCTTAACCCAGCAACTGACAGGTGAAACACACACATTTTCTTGAGGACACTTTGCTAGTGATGCTTGAGGATGTGCCCATTAGAATACATCAACTGTGGTACATGCATCATCGTGATCCAGCTCATTTTGCTCAAGTAACACAGTAAATCCTAAATGTTGGATATCCTGGCAGGTGGCTAGGGTGTGCCAGCCCTGTCCCATGGCCACCTTGATCCATTTGACTTCTTTTTGTGGGGCCACGTTAAAAGCAATGTGTATGCTACAGAGGTTCCGACTCATAGGGAATTGTGGAGCCGAGTACAACACAGTGCCACAAGCATTCACAATATGCCTGGAGTCATCAAACGTGTACAACAGCCACTTTTGCAACGGACTGAAGCCTGCATTCAGGAAGAGGGCTGGAACTTTGAGCATTTACTGTGAAAACCTTATTAGATTGCAAATGATTGTAAATAATTTGTACCGTACTAGCAACACTGGATATTTTATTTATACTCCGTAGATTTTATCACATTCCATCCCCAACTCAGCTTGTAGTACAAGCTGAGTCCTGCTGAAGTTACAGTGTACAGGCTTAAGTTACAGTGTACTGGATTATCAAGAGAATCGCCAGAATTTAAATTAATTATTTTCTCTATACTGTATGCATCACAACATAAGAGAGAAAGCATAAAATTTTTATCACAGAAAACTGCATCAGGTTACTTGTGCTCTACATGTAAACATACTTGTGACACTTTAAAGAAAGTGGGAAAGAAGGGTAGGTTGGATTAAGTCCCTCTCATACCTACTCTTCCATTTAAAGCCTCTACACACTCTAAAAATATTAAAATAGTTTTCAAAGTCTCTTTTGAAAATCACATTTATATGATAATGAAAATCCATTTTGTACTGAATCACACACCTTCACCTGAGGTCAGTTTAAGGAGTCATAATGTTCTTTACTGTTTTCAGAAACTTAACACCAGATCCACTCAGTTCTACTTCGTCAAGACATTCTCCCAGGTTTTCTTCTTGGCCGCTGTTAGGTCTTCTAATATTATCACCAATGTCACCAGGAACATTACTATCATTCAAACTTGAATTTATCGATTCTTCCAAGACATTCTTAACTTGAAAGAAGAACTCATCTGTAACATCTATTGTACTTGTGTCAGCATGGTTGGGTTCATCAGGTCCCCTTGGTGGTGGAGTGTCTTCAGGAGCTTCTACATAGTTCTCATTTACAGACTCACTGCTGGAGTGACTCTGAGCAGAACTGGAGGAATTCCTCCTGACTCTGTTTATGCTGACACTACTGGGACAATGTTGTTCCACCTGCCTGTCACCTGGCTTATATAGACTAACAGTGCTACTAGTCTCACTGGGAACAGGGCTCTTACTGCTACAACTTTCCTGCCTCAGTGACAAAACCTTCTTCCTGGGAGAACCTGTCAGTCGGTAGTGTATGACATCAGTAGATATATTGAGAGCTTTTGGATCTTCCTTTTTATCTCTTGCAACCACTTCCAAACTTGTCTTTACTTCCATGTTGTCCTGAGATAGATCATTTCTCAGAGGAGTTGATGTCACAGTGAAAACCCCAGAATCATTGTGGGTTGTTTCTTGATTACCAGGAGGGGGTTGTACTGCAGCCATGGAAGTAATACCTCCCGTGGGTATAAGGTTTGCCAACTTGGTGGAGATAAGATGCTCCAGCTGATTCTCCAGGATGCTGGATGACGTGAACATTAACGGCTGAATACCCCCCATCTGGAAAAATGAGAGGAGTATGAAGAGTTATAGATTACATAAATCCTTTTATTTAAATATTATTACTTAAAGCAGTGCACAACAAAAATAATTTCCTAAAAACAAGTACAACTAAGTCCTGCGACATCCTGTAGTTATGACCACAATAAAATTCCATTTTTAATTCAAATTGGTCCTTATTAGATCATAAGGCCTCTGGGGTTGTAATGGCTATTGGACAACAATATTACTGACACACTAGGATGTGGGTTCATTCTTTAAACTTACCCAAGACACAATGATATCTCTCTCTCTCTCGTATATTTATGGTTTAATTAAGTCAGGTTTAACTTGGTTTATGGTAAATTAATAATTTCACTTGACAAATCAAACAGATAATAACTTAATGCGAGAATTTTATATACTCCTGTAGTAAAATGTCATTTTCTTCTGACTGAAAAAAAAAAGATTCTGGGCGAGGTCTATGATATTTTGGAGTGAGACCGAGACACTAACAGACCACACAGCTGAGGAGGGCAGGTAGTGTCGGTGTTTACCTATACAGTACATAACTTGTCTGGTCACATCTACATTCTTAGTTTCTTGTGTTTGTGTTGTCATATTGTGCACAAAGTGGATACCATAAGGGTTAAAGCTCTGTAATGGACTGAAAGCATTATATATATAGATATATACAGTAATACCCCGCTTTACGCAGGGTTTTTTTACGCGTTTCTAAAATTACGTGGTACCCTGCCAGAACCGGAATTCCCACTTTACGCGGTGCATCTACTCATATACGCGGGTGAAGTATAATTTTTTTATTTAGCTCATAAAATTCATACAAATTACCCAGCCAGAATATAATTTACATTGCTGGAATTCTTACAATTTGATGATCATTTTGAATATAAACATCATAGATTTTGCATTAGACATACAAATTTTAGATCTAATGTAAGTACAGTCATGCGCCGGTTAACGTCCGACCGAACAACGTCCGATCGCATATACGTCCGTGGCCCCCCCCCACCAAACCAAAAAAAAAAAAAAAAAAGTGACGCCTGCTGGACCACCACTCCACGACCCCCTGACGGAGACATGATGATCCTCCCCATACTGGTCAGATATTATGTGCTAAAGGAATATACTTCCTTACTTAGGCTTTTTTAAGCATTTGCCTACAGGTGAAATGTTAACCTACATCTATTGAGGATAAAATCTTTCACCGACAAATTGACAATAACACATTTGCTGTAATCAGACATATCTAGTTGCCTCAACAATTGCAAGTTGCAATTGGGGTTGCAATTGGGGTTGCAATTTCAAATTCTGTGGCATTACTAAAAATAGTAAAGTTTCTCGTGCACTCTAAGATTAAGAGAGAAAACGGAGGACTCAGGCGTCCTGATGTGAGAGAAAACGGACTCGTATGACGGGGGACCAAATAAAAAAAGCATAGCTACATGTTTTGTGGACTACAGTATTAAGCGTACCCTTTTCATCACTTTGTAATAAACCTAGCCATGCCTATGTGTGTTTATGATATTTACCATAACATTATATATATATTTAGTGGGTCTAAATGGTCGTAAAATGGGAAACTTGGGGTTGGGTCTTGGGTAAATGAACCAATTAGAATAAATCCCATAGGTTCTGTACTTTCGTTATCGGCGGGGTCCCAATTAGGCGCGATAACCAAGGGATGACTGTACTGTACTGTATATACTTGTGACACTGGCCAGTTGCTTCTGGTGTTATGGTACAGGGGTACCAAGTGACAGCACTAGGATCCCGCTTCCTCTATCAAGGAATAAACAATTAAAATTTAAATTGAAAAAAAAAAAACATTCAAATAAATTACTATCTTACAAGAATCCCTCCAATGTAAGTTATATTCACCCAGGTCGTTTGGGTGGAAAATTATGAGAAGAGCTTAGTCACTCTTAAGTAATGATAAATAAACAAGCAGGCAGGCCTTCAGCGCCAACTGTCAAATCTTATCTCAAATAAATAAACAAACAAACGGCAGACATTCTGTCACCTCACCTCCCGCCCCCTCCCCCCGTCTTCCCATCACCCTCGTGTTCCAGATAAAAGATTGGTGATTTCTTTATGTTTATTTTATATAATATCTCAGACTAAAGTTAGGATAATATAATTTGCATTGCTGAAATCCTTGCAAGACAGATTAATTTGAATATAAGCGTCATATATTTTGCTCAAGATATAAAAAATGTAGTACATTAGTGTACAATACTGTAGTACATTTTATAAAAAAAAATTCTATTGTATTTTTGGGTAGATTTACATAAATTTCTTCATTTATTTTCATACATTTACATGCACACACCATACTAAAAGAAACATAAAAGAAATACTGTAAATGACTTTAGTGCAAAGCTGGAGTGCACATGTACTAATTTGATTACGGTACTAAAATTGTTATGTCTAGTGCGAATTACAACATGTTTATATTCAAATAAACCAGTATCTTACAAGAATCCCAGCTATATTAATTATATTCACCCAGGTCATTTCACTAGCTTTTTATAAGAGAGAAGCTTAGTCACCTAAGAACTGATAAATATACACGCGTTAGACCTGGGCCTGTGCCAACTGTCAAACGTACTACCTCACCTCCCCTTCCCCCACACCCCCTCGCTCGCTCCCACCCTCTCCCCCATCTGCTCGGCGTTGCTGGAATCCTTGTGAAACAGTGAATAATTTTAATATAAACGTCATGTATTTTGCACAAGAGATAAAAATTAATCACCTGTATCACATTACAGTAGTGATTTAACAGTAAAAGTGTATATGTACGTATATAGTATTCCACATACACATAAGTATAAATAAAAAGTTTATGTGATGCTCGGACAACGTCCATTTCGGTTAACGTCACGTTTCCAAGAACGTATCTAGGACATTAACCGGCGCATGACTGTATTTTGCTTACTCAGAGCAAATATGTTATCTTTTGTGCAAAATATATGACATGTATATTCAAAATATTCCTGGTCTTGCAAGGAATCCAGCAATGTCAATTATATTATCCTAACTTTAGTTTGAGGTATTATTTATTACTATACCTTAAAAGCTAGTGTTTTCCCCCAAACATTTCTCAGAGAGGGAGGAGCCAGCGAGTGTGAGAAGAGGAGGGGGGGGAGTTGAGTCCATTATTTGAATGGACATTAACTTGGCGACTGTATTTCTCTATTTCTCTTAAATATTAATTGTGTGTGCGTACCATCATAAAATTAAGATGTTATTTTTACTAGAACATAGGTATTGTGTCGGGAAAAAATGCAGTTTGGGGGTCGGCCCGATCTCTATTTCAATTAATCCCATATGTTATGTTGTTCACTTTATGCGTTTCTCACTTTACGCGGGCCTCCGTGGGTTCAATTGACCGCGTAAAGCGAGGGTTCACTGTATATGAAAGAGAGAGAGAGAGAGAGAGAGAGAGAGACCGGCCAATCATAGCATCACTTGAGTATCGGAATAAAGTGTATGTGTAAACTATGAGTTGGTCTGGCTTTGTATAAGTGTGTGTTTGTTTATGTTGCAGTAGGCAGCTATCAAACAGGGAGGTACTGCAGCCAGGGAAGATATTGGAAGCATAATGTGTTGTCTAATGGTAGACCCTGCTGCTATATGTGACCAAGTCCCAGGTTGATGATCTGACTTTTTGCCTCATTTACACACAATTGCAGGGTCTCAATTGTTTCTCTTACTTTGACAACACAACATACATATCTTTTTTTGTGCGTGTATTTATTTATTGTCCTTTATTAGTACAGGTACACCACCGATTATCTGGGAACTGATGGTCCGGCACCTCCTTTAGTCCGGACAAATGTATGAGAGGGACTTAACTTCCATCCCTCTCTCCCTCCCAGCCTGGGTGAAGGTAGTTTTAGGCTTAAAGTTTTTATCTTATAAAATGTAGCTGACTAGACTTAGCAGAATATAAATTGCATTGCTGGAATCCTTGTAAGATAGTAAATTAATTTAAGAATAAACATCACATAGTTTGCACAAGAGATAAAAAATGTAGTCTAGAGTAGTACATTTGAATACAAAATGTGTACAGTAATGTTGCTCAAAATTATGGCTTTTTCACATTTAATCTACATTTCATATTTGTTTAATTTAAGTTTCTAGCAGTCCATGATGCTTTAGAGACACAGTGGTGTATAATTAGTGGGCCAGAGGTGTATAGTTGAATTATTATTACCTAACCTCCACTGGTCCGACAAAATGGATAATCCAGCAAGGCTTTGGAACCAAGGGTGCCGGAAAATCGGTGATGTACCTATATTCTTCTTCTTATTATTATTATACTGTATTGTATTGTATTATTATACTGTATTGTATTATTAATATTTTTTTTAACTTTTTTACTAATTTGTATTATTATTATTATTTTCCCCCCAGACCTGTGCCCTGGTAGGCTAATCCCAATTAAAAAAAAAATAATAAAATAAAATGATGTAGTATAGATACAGTTGTAACTAACCATTCATGGATGTTGACTACCACCAAACAACTGGTTCGTGCACCACACACCCCCTCACAATCTATTACACTGTATAGTTACAAAAAAATTATCTTTACAAAATTGTGTTGAAAATAAATGACACAACAGATGAAGAATTTTGGCATCCCTACTGAGACAACAGGAGATGCCGTGTTCATTTTAAAATACATCAACTCCCCTAAGTAGACAGTTTTGGAGTAAATGTACATGGTCTTACACCTGGCTGCCTTGGTCATAAAATACAGTTAAATACCACATATTTTACAAAGATTTACCACAAACTGAATGTATGTACAGTCAGGGTCAAAAGTCCTGTCACCTCTCCTGCTGCTCCATGAACAAGATTCAGACTGTGAACCCAAAGCAGGAGACACTGATGCATTATTCTGACCAAGGAGGCTTCGGGTTCAAGAGTCTGAATCTTTGGGTTGGTGGAGCAGCAGGAGTGCTGACAGGACTTCTGACCCTGACTGTACAG